GTGGCAGGCTTCAGAACAAGGCTGGGCTTCAAAAAAAGCGCCTGACCCACCCACTCTCTGCGCCATCGTCTCGGAGTGTCTGCGTGGGAGCTAATTTGCCTTTTTAATTAAGGCTTTACAAAGCGTGAGACCTCCGTAGGATGCTTCCAGAGAGAAAAAAAAGGATGAAAATGAAGTTTAAATTGAAAATATAATAATATTGCTAATAAAATCAGTATCTGGTTAAAGCTGAGAAGCACTAGGACAGGCGCTGTCATCCCTGGGTGGGTGATGGTGATGGGTGATGCTCCTGGTTTTGTTTTGCTTGTTTCCTTGGCCACCGTACTCTTTGGTGGAGAAACTTTTAATGGATACTATGGAAATAACAGTTTAAATGGTGGGAGAATGTGAATTCTGGGTAGAAACTCTATGAGCAGAACTGGAGATAGAATTTGAAAGGTAGAACTTGTATTCTTTGTAATGGTAAACATCTGAAAATATTTACATAGAATGAAGTTGCTAAGTTTACAAAAAAAATCATTTAAATATCAAAATTCCTTAAGAGAAAGGTATATGTGTCTGTATACAAAGCCTTGATTCCAAGTTTGTAGTTTGCTTTTTGCTTTTAATACAACTGGCCTTGATGTTATTCAGTCTTGAATTTCAGCATGTCAGTTACTAAAATTTGTTTTGGAGACTTGGATTTTTTTTTTTTAAAGAGCTTCTAATCTTAAAATTTCAACAACAAGCTTGAAGAAATTTGAGACTGCCTTGATAAAAGTGTAATGAGATCATCAGACTATTTTCTCCATCTGGTTGAGTAGGTTGGTAGATGGTTTCTGTAATTGTGCATGATTCATCTGTCTTTCAGAAGAGAACTTCTGCTCTGTTGCTCTTACTGTGGCAGTTTCGCTTTCCTTTTTACTCGTTAAATTGAATATTTTTGGGGTAGAGCAGGAGCTAATAGGAAACTTTTTTTTTGAGTTCAGTAGTAGAATTGGTAATAGTGTTTTCTTAAGCTTCTATATTAAGTGGTTTTTAACGCTTCTGTTGTCTGTTTTAGGCCTAAGGCTAGGAAATGTTGCAGCAATAGTATTTGTGTATTAAATCAGTGATAATGTTTGTGGAAATAAATCCAACCAAAGCAGCGCTTAGTGAGTGGAAAGGACAGCTCAGTGCTAAAAAAATGCAGCCTTCAGAAGGAAAAAGTGCAGTGCAGTAATTTGATGGTTAGAGGACAGAGGGAGACTTATGGAGGGAGGACTCTTAGCATGAACAGTAGAATGGTGGTGATAGGTGTGTGGATTGGCAGGTGAGGAGGAATGAGGAGAGTGTGAAGCAGTTGAAGACAATTTGTGTTGTCATGTCGAAAAGAAGAGAAGGAAGAGAGAGTAGGCAAACATCTGAGGCTCTCCATGGAAACCGTAGAAAATTCTCCCATCTCCTAACTAAGGATTCGGTCACTAAACTGTGAATGTGAATCTAGTGGCCCTAATCCCTTAATACCGCATTGGGAAAGGGTTTTGGTAGTGTTACCGACTTGCAGAGCAGCATATGTAAAGCCGCTCAATGTGTTCGTATTAAATTATGTGCATGGTGACACTTGTCAAACCTGTTTCTCGTTCAGGTGCTTGACTAATAGTTTACAAAAAACATACGTAGAGCTAGTACTGTGGATGTGTTATTGACGAAGATTGGTGTCACCAATGGCTCGCAGATAACCTGTTTCTGAAAGATGCTTCTGCTGCAGAGGTTTTTAAACCATGGCCTGAAGGAAAACTTCACACACAAAGGCAACGTGAGCGTCTCTGTTTCTCTGTATGTCCGCAGCTGAGAGCTACCACTGCTTGTAACAGCAGCGGCGATGCCAGGGTTGCAATCTAGATTTGGGTACCTTGTGCTAAGTTTACAAACTTCTTGATTGGCTGTTTGACACAGCTTTCGTATTGCTTTGCAATAAAGCTGCTATCTATCTCTGTAGAGATATTGCAGAGAAAGTGTCTGCTCAGATCTACTGCAATACCTGTCATGCAAAAACTGACCTGCAGCTGCCAAGTGACAATTGTATAAATAGATACCGTGTGTCTGAAAAAAAAAAAAAGTGGCTGTTTTGCTCAGGTGAGTTGCTTTAATAGTGGTTATTTGGAGAATTTATGCAGGAGTCCAAGGGGTAGTTGTGCTTTTTCTGTAGCTCACCCCTTTGCGCTAGTAATTTGGCAGCAGCAGAAGTAATCTGTCCATCTGTTCTAGCTTCATTTTGGCGGCATTTCAGATAACGGATTTCCTTATCTTTGAGGACTATATTTGAAATTATAAGGCCTATGGTTCTGTATTCTGAAGCCCTTGGCTTTCTTAAAATGTGAAGAGGTTACCATAATACAGTAGTGTTTGTGGTAGTGAGCAATGTGTATACTGTATTATATTAATTTGTTCTGACACCCTCAGACAATTTGGAAACAAATTTGGGTTGAGATTAGGGTTGTCGTTTTTTTAAAATCTTTCAGGTGTTGGCCAAATGTAACTTAATTAACAAGATAATAATTTATATGTCTGCCTAACTGAATCATTAAATTTTTTTTTTTTTAATAAGTCTTGCTATTTCATTCCACGGTTAAAAAAAACTTCGAGCCCAAGCTGAGATTGAGCATTAATTTACTGTTGGGGTTGTTATGAACCAGTGTCCTGATTTGAGCTAGAGCAGAACCGATTCACCGTTCAGTGATTTTACTTTTCAGCTAAGAGGCTGCACTTCCTGAAGTTAATGCATGTTTTTGCAGACAGTGTCTGCTACTAGAAGTGATAACGCCTGAAGTTTATAGTTACTACCAGGGACTGGTATGCAGAAAGGCTCTTGCTTATACTTGCTCCTATAGTAACCAAGGTCACTGCTGGATCTTGTGTGTCATGCTAGGGGTGCTGGGAAGTAAAAGCGTCCTAAGTAAGTTAAAAGGTCACACTTGGAGAGAGGAGCAGATGGGACAAGCGACCTGAACCTGACCAGCAAAAGTATTCTGTATGCATGATACCAAGTACAAAGCTGAGGGATCACAAGGGTCAGGCTGCCTTCCTCTGTAGCTTGTGTCCAGGGAGGACTCTGTCCATTCTGGTGCCTTTGATCCCAGTCTGTGTGTTTCTGAATCCAGTTCCCATCTGTTGCTGAGTCTGGTCTGAGACTTCCCAAGTTCCTGCCATGCAGCATTGATGGGGGTGTGGTCATCATCAGGGAAGTTCAATATTGTTTTTGTATATATTTATGTATGTTTTGTTGTTTTCTTATTTATATTATTATATTTTTATTGTTACTGTTTCATTAAAGCCAGAGGGTTTTTTCTAAATTATTTTAAAATTTTTTGCATCAACCTGTAAGTGTCTCTTTCCTGTTTCCTTTCCCCTCCTGTGAAGGGAGAGGGGTTAATAGAGTGCATCTGTCATTCAGTTAATGGCCAGCCCAGCCTTAACCTGTGACAGCTGATCACTTTTTTCATTCAACGAATAAAAATCTGTACATCAAGTTACTGGACAGACACTCTGTGCTCCTAAGTTTCAAAGTAAATTGATTTCAGCTACCCACTTGGGCCCAGATCATGAAACTAATGCTATTCCTGGGTTCCAGGTTCATAGAGGGTGAGGTGAGCTGCTTCTGCACCTTTGGAATTGCTTTAGGACCATTTAATGTGCTGGTGACTGCTCCGTGGGTTGTGTGCAGGGAAGACCTGTCATTGTAGCACTTTGCTAGAGTGAGTTAAATATCTCTGAAACTGCCTGACTGAACTTAAAACTGATTATACAAAGGAATAGCAGTAGTACTATCCAATACATTCTTGATGAGAGCATGTTTACTGGAGATGAACTTTCTCAGAAGTAGTAGGGTATTAATACCGGATACCTGGAGTGACAGTTGAGAGGGAACATCAAGAGTTACACTTATGAGCAGCAAAGGAAATAATTGGAATTCAGTTTCTTAAATAATCCTGCTTAATAATAATTTTTTTTTTTTCTGCTGAAGAGTATTGGTGGCTTTTTAAGCAGTTTTGTGGCTCTTATTTTTGAGAACTCCCCTCCGACTAAAAATTTCCGAAGTAAAAGTAAGTTTGGCCACATCAAGTCTGATCAGCTGGCTTACAAAATGGTCCATGAACCAGAAGACTGGATTTAAAAATAACATTTAGGTAGATAACTAGGCAATGGCTTTATGTGATATTTTGATTCCTTTAGGTATTGTAATAAATCTGTGAATAAATCTGTGCTATTAGAGTGCTTCTAAGTGCTTAATGCTTCACTTCTAGCTGTGGATTCTTGTAGAAGACTGATAGCTGTGCCAACATTTGTCCACAATAGAAGATGGGTGGATTAATTTCAAGGTGGAGGGTAAGTAAAATAATGTAAAATATAATGATCTTTAGAAGATGGGAGTATGCAGGACATATTTCTTAATACCTATTGTTTGACTGTTAATGCTGGTTGAATATTAGAGCTAGACTTTTCCCACTAATTTGTCACTTAGAAGTCCAGTAGTGAGACACAGTGGCCAAAAATACTTCCTGCCAAATCCATAGCTGTGAAACTGTGCGACTGTCCTTTATTTCCTATGTAGTACCAGGCCTGACACTGGCGTGGTTAACTGATGAAAACAGTTTTATCTAGTTCTGTAAATCTAAAGATTTTTGTGGTGCTTCACTGGGATAGATACAGCAGCACCTGTGACTTGAAAGATTGGTGGTTATTTTAGGTCAAAATAGATACATTCAGAACCTGTTTGTTTTAACAGATATTTTGGTAGCTACTTACACCTACCGGAGTCTTTTTTCCTAACTGATTTTATTGGCTTGTATGTTATTGGATGGTGTACTGAGTTTATGAGGAAAAGGCATGAGGTTTTTGACTTCTCTCCTGGCAGGTGTGAGTTGTTTGAGTCTAGATTTGTCTTTGCATATAGTCAGAGCCTCCCATCCAAAACTTCTTTAATGGCAAAAGTCTATGTGAAATTTCACTTTTGTGTAATAGAATGAAACTCACTTTCATGGTACAAGTTAATTCTATAACTTTTTCTCTTGAATTAGCATAGTATTTAATAATGAAGTGGAAAGTGTTAGAGTATTTACTGAAAGCATGCTACAGTTGACAAGAATCAGTAATACTTGTTTTATATGGTCAGGCATTGGAATGCCCTGCCCAGGGAATGAGTGGAGTCACCGTCCCTGGAGGTGTTTAAAGAGAGGCTGGATGTGACACTTAGTGCTGTGGTCTAGCCGGTGTGATGGTGCTGGGTCATAGGCTGGACTTGATGACCTCAGAGGTCTGTTCAAGCCTCAACAATTCTGTGTTTCTGTGATGCACTGTGGGCTATGTTTTTTGAATTTGTGGCCTGAAGGGTGGGAGTTGGCTTTATACTTCTCAAAAACTTTAGAAAAGATTCCTAGAAAGCGAAATTTTACTGGAAATGATTTGCAGTTGCTATAATTTATTTAGAGTGTGTGTCTTTATGTGGAACCAATAGTAATAAAAAGCTTCAAGTTCTCAGTTTAGGGCTTCCTTCCTGTGTATGCTCTCTTTGTTTTGCCTATGTGTTCCACTTGTCAACTCTCTCCTTGTTTTACTTCCCAACCACATATCCATTACTGCTGTGCATGCTTTATAGGTTTTCATCTTTTGGGGTGTAGAGAAGAAGCCTTCTGTTAATAATAGTGCCAACTGTAAAGCAGTGATTCATTACAGTCTCTTTTCTTTGTCACTATTAAAGTAGGAAAACTTAACCTTTATGCAAAATAGATATTAATCTATTACGAATATGTCTTTGTTAATAAAGTGCTAATGTACAGTAGTCTTCAAAATATTGACTTTTTAAAGTGAGATTAACATCTTTTTTTCTTTCCATTGTAAGCAGACAAAGCCTTCCACTGTAGAAGTATTAGAAAAAATTGATAAGGTATGTATGTGCTTTTTGGTGTTTTGTTTGATTTTTGTTTAGAGGTATACATCTTTTTTGCCGGCCATGCGTTTCTGTCACATTAGGTAAAATACTGTCATGAAATTTCAAATTATTTTGATAATTATTCCAGTTGGATGTACTAGAGATTGAGTTTCAGATGGACTGCTACCTTTTTTCCACTTACTATTAGCCATTTAAGAAAATCCATAATGCATAACAGATAGTGAGAAACTACAGTTTATATATTTATTTAAAGAACTTGAAATGGGAATAAATGTGAAGTTGGCTTAATTACACAATTTAATTATAACTAATGGTTAAACTCCTGCATAATGGAAAATGTCACTAATGCAAAGGTTCCATTCCTGAGGCTTGTTAGGAAAGCTTCAGTGTATGATTTTAAGTGTAAGAGTTGTAACTGTAGTGGCAGTAAGGTCAGGGAGGAATAACTGAATAGACGGCTTAGTAATCAGTTGTGATTTTTAGCCAGCATTTATGACAGATGTCTGGACTCTATGGGGAGATTAATTAACTGTTTTGAAATACGCTGTTGTTGTCGGGGTCTTTTTGTTTGTTTTCCTTTTAAAGGAAGTATGAGTATTCCTATTGTCACTTGAAAGCAGTCAGAATGGTAACATAGCAGATCATTGCTTGGTCGTTTATTAATGTGTTGAAAGGCATCATTCAGATGATCAGGATTTCACTCTTGATGTGAGACAATACTGAAGTGAAAATGGGTGAAATGACGGAGAGGTTTTAGCCATTTCCGATGTTACTAGTAAGGTATTAGGAGTGTTTGAAATTCCACAGGTGCCTGATGAAAGTTGTAGGATGCAAAGTATGGTTGGTAGTGATTTAAGTGATCATAAAGACTGCCATTCATCAGATATTAGCATTTTGCACTTGTTTCAGATATACTGACACATTACAAATAGGAAAAATAGCGGATTTGTGATTAGTAATGTGTTACTGCTAATATAGTGCAAGTGGCTCATGTAACCTTAATAGTGTTTTATATTTATGCTGTGGAAGTTATCTATGGGCAAATATTGTCATTTATCAAAAAGCTGCTTGACTTTTCTAAACAAGTGTCAAACAGATATGGCTAATTTTAGCAAACACTTAAAGGCAGCTTAGTAAAACCACCTACTGATTTCACTAATAAGGTTGAACCCTATTTATTTACAGGAAATACAGACACTAGAAGAATTTAGAGAAAAAAATCAGAGACTGCAGAAACTATGGGTTGGAAGGCTGCTTCTCTACTCTTCACTTCTTTACTTTATCACCTGCTTAATTGTATATTTATGGTGTCTTCCTGATGAATGGACAGCAAGGTTGATTATGACACTTCCATTTTTTGCATTTCCATTGATGTAAGTAAATACACCTTTTTTTCCTTAACTGCTGTCTCTTTGATAAAAGGAGATGGAAAATACATCTCAGCAGGGGTTTAGGTTTGCTTTTGACAATCTTGAGTTGTCATAACTTGCTGAATTTTTTCTTTTAAAATAAATCCAAGTAGTTAGGCAGACACTTTCTTTGAGGGAAATGTCTCTCATGGGTCTGGGCTTAGTGCAGAACTAAGTCTTACCATCAAAAGATGTTAGCACCTAAAGTTACCTGGCTTATCAGAATTATACTAGGGCTAGAGAGGGATCTGTATCCGAACAGCTGCAAGGTAATGTAATGTAATCGCATTATCTGCGATTTTATTTCTAGTGTTATTTAGAAAAGTCACACTTTCTATATGACAGTAACCTAAGGTATGTTGCTTGTGTGTGAAATGCAGTGTATAAAATTGGAGGAAAAAATACAAGAATGAATGGAAAAAATTTCTTTTGCATAGGTGACTGTTAACACAGAAGTGACTTGAAAGGTCATCAGCCTAAATATAGTTCTACGTAGTTAGCTGTTTTTCTGGAAAATCATAGACTATTTTCTTCAACTAAAAAATAGCCTATCATCATAGGATGTGAACAAGTGAAAGTATTGTTTAGTTCTTTGTTCCAGTGAAATGATTGACTGCTCATCCTCACATGTGGCTTTTATTTCCTAAAATAAACACTAAAAAGAAACCTCACTAAACAGTTGCTTCCCTGCCTTCCTTTCTCCCAGACCATCAAGGATGAGTAGCAGCCTCCTGAGCGTCTTTCCTAAAGATGGGGCAAGCACAGTGCGTTTACTAATCTGCTGAAATGAACGGCATAAATACTGTCCTTATTTGTGCAGCATCTTCATATGACAACATGACTTGTCACTGCTCTAGCTTTAGACTTGAAAGGCAAAGTCAAATGTAAATACTTAAGGCTTTGCAAGTTTGATTAGTCTGGGTCAGCAAAAAAATCATTGAAGGTGCTTTTTGTACATTGTACTGTGTCATACATGATGTACTAATATACTGCTGTTAAGGAATCCTGTGGAGAAGATGCATGGGCAGCATGACTAGAGAGGATTAATACAGAAATTAAAGCTTAAGTTAATCTTTGGCAGCAGTATGAATTGGTCTTGTTCTTAAGGACAAGGATTTGCAAGTCTTTGTTGTTAGCATGCGAGGCTTCCTCATGCTCACAGGGAAGACTTGTAGAAGAGGAAGTATAACCAGCCTTCCTTCGTTTCTGTGTGCTAGGATTAGTGTAGAAATGAAAACTTTTATTACTGAAGGCCATGGTTTCTAGTGCTGTGGTGGGAATTTTCACATTGGATTTTTATTCTCTAGTTTGTCCAGCAGTTTTTTTTTTTATAAGGTGGGTTTCTATAAAATTCTCAACTAGACATTGGCTTACTAACATTTAGAATTACACTCTTGTTCTCATACGACTTGCAACTGTTTAGTTGATTTTTTTTCTCTTATGCTATTCCGCTTCAGCTTTTCTGGCGGATATGAATGGCAAGCAACTGCCAGCTTGTCTTTGTTCTCGGTCAAGAGGTGACTCCGTGCTGAATGCCTGGTGCCACCCAGTAATAGCTCTAGAGATTTTTTTCAGCCCTAATCAAACTGGAATGTGTCTGCCTTTTCCAGCTTGCAGTCAGTCACCAACTTATTTCTGCCTTAGGTCATTCCCTCAGGGTCTTAGCAAGTTACTGATGCTGGTAGAGCAAGTTAAGTTCTAGGAATATATAACATTAATTCTGAATATATATTGAAATATCTGAAAAGTTGAAGAAATATATTAGCATGTTAGAAGGATGCCCTTGAAGTTATTTTTATTTGAATTAGATTCTGTTTCATCTTGCATGTTCTGGTTTTCAGAGAAATATGTTTTTAGAAAATAAAATTGGTCTGAAATGGTCTGCTATTAAACTTTCACCTCAAAGTTCTTAAAGAGTAAATGCTTTTTGTTTTGTGAAGTCCTATCATGCATCTGTTAGCTTAGAATACAGCTTTAAGCAGAAGACTATTAAGCAAACAGTGACAAAAAATAATGTTTTTGCCTCTGGAACAGAGCCTTTAAGGCAATTCAAACCCTGTGAGGCATTTTTTTCTTTTGATGCTTTATGAAGAGACATATCTTGTGTAAGTGGGCAAAGCCATTGGTGTTCTTAGAGTATTTATTACAGCACACCTCTGAATGTGGGGAATAGTGTTGAACTTTTTCTCTGTTTCTCTCATCTTGGATAGGTTAGTCTCACATTGCAGTTGTCTAACTTGCCTAACTTGGGTTGCGCTGTTAATACTTGAAAGCATTTTGAACTGGACAACTATTATATAAAATGCAAAAGATATTCTTAGGAATTAAGTTGAAACTCTGTTTGAAATCTTAGTCTTTTGCCACTTTCTTATGGTAGCTTATTCAGAGAACCTTTTGAACCTTTTTTTTTTTTCTTAAATGAAACATTGCTACTTTAGGCTTTATTATGTAGCGCTTGGCACTAGGAGGGTTTTGGACAAGGTGCTTGGAAGTATGAGATTTGCCTCTTGGCTTGGGCAGAACTCTATGCTGGGAAAACTGTCAACTTAATAGCTATAAACAATTCTCAGCTTTAAAGCAAATGAAGTCCCAATGATTGCAGAGACACCCCTCAAATGTAAAATGGTGATAGATCAGTTTATCTTGTGCAGAGATAAATTGCCCTGTTGTTTGAGGTAAGTCAGCTGAAACCCTGCGGAAACTGAGCGTGTTCAGAGCTCCTTAAAACCGGCACGAGTCAGGTCAGTTAACTCAGCTTGGGAGAGCATTTGTACAACAGCTGTATCCCGTGGGTTTTGTTGGTATTGAATTCTTCCCGCAAGTCTCCCAGGTCTTAATTTTGGGCCTTAGCTGATAAGTTTGGCTTTCTGGATAGTGTGTGTCATAAATCTATCAAATAAAAAGTGATGACTAAGTAATTTTCAGGTAGCTGCACAGACCAGGATTTTAAGAAGTTCCCACTGAACATTTTAGCAAGCAATGATGTTGCTTGATTCCTTAAGCTTTCTACCTATAGTAATAATTGGTTGGATTTTAGTAGACAGGAATTTTGTTTAGATCAATGTTGATGTCTTGTTGACACAATACTAATTTAATTTTTAGTTTTCTGTATAAATATTGCTTGAAGATTTATGTTCTTTGTATTTGCGAAGTTAAATTTCATCTAGTAAATCTTCTGTTTACTTAATGATTTCAGAAATGGTTACTTGTTTTAATTAATATAGTTCTTTTCTCTGTTTTAAAGAATCTGGTTTATAAGGACACTGCTCATTTTTTTCTTTTCCAAACGGACGGAAAGGAATAGTAAGTATTCTGCCTTTTTTCAGAATATGAAGCTAATTGGCAATGATGCTTGCTATGAAAATGTAAATATTTGGCTTTCAGGAAAAGAAGAGTAGCCTTCTGGTTGATGCTGAAATGGGTAGCATTAGCTAAACTGTTGTTTCTTGAAAGAATGGGAAGGAGACTGCTTAAGCTTAATGCAGAATTTAGAAATTGCATCTGTGGTACTTGTCTGCAGTAGTTGTTGTTCATCTGATACTTTCTTTCAAAGCAGTCTAGCCTATAACAATATCTCATGGTGAGACGAGCAATAATACAGGAAAACCTCAGTGTTGCACTATGTTTTATGACTTGCAGAACAACATGATGTATTTAATTTGTGACAGCTTACGAGTTAAACATCACTTTTGGAATTTTTCTTAAACTTAATGTTTGCATTTGATATACAAGCATAAGATACGCATTTTTATGTAGAAATAAAATTGTCCATGTATCCTGTGGTGCTGTATGATTCATTTCTAAGGCAAATATCTATTTGCATTTCATGACTGGGTAAAGAAAAAAAAGTATGCATGTCTTCTAGTTTGCTTATTGCTGTTTTTAGTGTACAAGCAAGTCTAGTGTTTTTGTTCAACCTGTGTATAAAGCGTTTTAGTAGGCGTTAGAACATGCCGAAAGAAATTATTTCTGCATTGTTCCAGAGAGTCTGGCTAAAACTGAGGTGTTTTACGTCAAAAATACAAGTCCTGTATTTGGAAAAGAGAAATCAAACTCACAGTGCAGGAGTTACAGCAGTAAAGTAGGAGAAAGTATAGCTGAAAGATAAAGCTGGCAACCGAGTGTCTCAAATCTAGCCTTTTACTTTGGGATAACTTAACATAGCACACTGGGTTGCTAGAGATGAATATTTAATACTGTAAAGCTCTGTACTGCGTAACCAGCACACACCAGTTTGGAGAACCGTATTCTGAGCAAGGAAAATTCCTAGTGAGATTCTGGGAAAGCTGATGGAGAGTGATTACGGAGCGGTGGTTTTTAAGACTGGTCAGGCAAGCAACAGTTGTGGAAGATTTAGGCTGGTGTGTCCTGAAGTGTGAGGAGAATAAGTGAAATATCTTGTGGGTATTGACTTCTCTAGTATGATTTCTTTTTTCTCTAAGTTTAATTAAGATGAGATATATTGGTTTCGTGAGAGTATTTTGCAGAAACTGCTATTTGGCCAGGTTTGAAGGGATGGGTGTTTCATGAGGGTCTTGTTGCACACTGGAGGTAATGTGGTCAGAAACAAGTGCCCACACTTTAAGCTGATTGCACTGCTTTGTGGGAAGCTATGCTCGAAGCTGTTCTAGGTATTTCTCTACCAAAAGCAGCTTCTCTTTCTGAAGTAAGTGTTAAGACCTGACTGTGTTGTGCAGTTTGTCAGGCTGCATGATGCCATAGTGCACTACAGTGTATTTACAGCTGTTAATCTGTGTGGGGCTACATGAGAGGCTGAGTTCTAATACAAATGGAAAATTTGGTGGAGGGAGGTACCTCACTAATTTGAAGATGCACAGTTCCTGGAATTATCTATCTTCTGTGGTCCAACACAGTGCTAAATGTGATCTTTGAACTGATAAAAGATTGTTGTAGTTACCTTTTCATTGCACAAACTTTTAAGTATGTATATGCCAAGTTTGAGTATTTTGTATATTTATTCAAGTGGTTTATTCTATCAAAATGGATTTCTACATTCTGGGAAAGTTGAAATAATTGTGTGTTCCCTTAACTTCAAATAACAGTAGTATTCCTGAAGTAACTTTGAAAAGTGCATAGTATACTTCAATATTTGTAGATATACACACGCACACACACACACACACACATACATACATACATATATATGTATGGGGGTTGGAAATAGGTGATCTTAAAGGTCCCTTCCAACTCGAACCTACTATGATGTAAATAAAGGGACAGAAAAGCATTTATTTAGTTTGGTGGGTTTTGTTTTTGTGTCTTGTAGTTCTGTGAAGCTTTTTCTTTTCTTTGAAAACTGGAAAATGGGTAAAAGTGAACGGCTGGTGTCCAGTAGGGCTGAAAAGGAGAAAAAGTTGTAAAGTATTTTGAGAATATTTTCTGTATTAGATTGTGGTGAGTTTTCCATGAGTGCCGAGCTGTAAGCATTGGCTTAAAAGAAACTCACATGTGCATTTGACCTTTCTTTCCCTTCATTTTAGAGAGGTTAGGTGCTGTGCCTACTAGTTATGGCAGAGTCTCTTAACATTTAGTAGTAAAATGACCTCCTGGTTACTTTTCTTGCAAAGCTGTGGGTTATACTGTAGTCTGAAAGTACTGACAGGGTGAAATAGATTCAGATTTGAAGCTCAGGATTGACCTGCCATTTGAAGCTAACATGGGTTAAGAGGTTTACGTGAAATATTGAAGCTGGTAAATCTGGTACTTGGATATATTAATACTTAGACCTCGAGCTTTTTTCTGTGATTTGACTCATGAGATTAAGTGTATTTGGTCTATTGTACCAGTTTTAATGTAGGTCAAGCAGAGCACTGGGTAGAATTGGTTTGCCTAATGAGGAAATGGTACATAAAACTTCTTAACAGTTATAACTATGAAATGCTAACAGTGATCTATAATTTATAAGCAGCTTCAGCCTCTGAAATGATGTATTCTCACATAAAAACTTTAGCTATTTTACACAAAGGTTTGGTAGTGATCAGTGCATAATTTTTCCTGATCTCACTGGGCGAAGTAAAAGTTTAGAGTGTGCTAAACTTATATCTTGTTTATATTTGAAAACTAATGTATGCTATCCTTCTTTTAGATGATGCGCTGGAAGATTTAAAGTCTCAAAAGAAAAAAATAGTAAGTAAAACTTCAAGAAAAGCTAGTTGTTGTGGTCCATTAAAGTGTTTTTGCATCTCTACAAGTCAAGTTTGGTTGTAATACATAGGTAGGGAGATTGAGACTATTAACATCCCTCTGATTTCATACACTTCTGGTACCACACAAGGTTTTCTTTACCTCAAAATTAAAGGACTGCTTGGATACAAGAATAAATTGTCTCCTTGTGCCTAGTTTAGTGTTGCTACCTGTGCATAAAGTGATTCAGTTTTGTCAGAAAATGAAAATGTATACCTTAACCTGCTCATTGCTGACTAATTCTTTTACTTTAGTATTAAAAAAGTGTTAGAAGTTGCACCAATTCAAGAAGATAGTGCAACTATATCTTTGATAGTTACTCTGCCACTTGGTATCTTGTTTGTAAATAGCAAAAAGAACTGTCATAGAATCATAGGATGTTAAGGGACCTCTAGAGATCATCTAGTCTAACCCCCTTGCCAGAGCAGGATCCCCTAGGGCAGCCACACAGGAACGTGTCCAGGCAGGTTTTAAGTCTCCAGAGAAGGAGACTCCACAACGTCTCTGGGCAGCCTGTGCCAGTGCTCTGTCACCCTCACAGTAAAGAAGTTTCTCCTCGTGTTGAGGTGGAACTTCCTATGTTCTAACTTAAACCCATTATTTCTTGTTCTATTACTGGGCAGTACTGAGAAGAGATTGTCCTCTTACTCTTGACACCCTCCCCTCAGGTATTTATATACGTTAATAAGGTCCCCTCTCAGCCATCTCCTTTCAAGGCTAACCAGCCCTAGTTTTCTCAGTCACTCTTCGTAGGAGAGATGTTCAAGTCCCTTAATCATCCTCGTAGTTCTCCATTGGACTCTCTCATGTTGTCTGGATTTGCTTTTTCATCAACTAAAGGATTATTGTTTGTATTTTAAATGCACTACCGCTTATTTCCCATCCTCCTCCATCTTATCTTTGTACTACCTATTTCTTCTATTACATTCTTTCTTCTAAAAAATTATATTGTCATGTATCAATTCTGTCAGTTGTCTTGTGATCTTACTTTGAGCTGTGTGCCTGAGTTAACAGTATAAAACTAGTGTGTGCCAGGTATTTACTTCAACTGGATCACCACTTAATCTCAGTAAGATAAACTTGAGATTGAAATTTATCCAAGACTTGGAATCTTTTCTCTCTTGCAAAGTTTTTAACACTGAAAGCTGCTTCCTCTCTGCTTAATTTATTCCATAAGCAAATTCTCCATGTATTTTTGTTGTTGACTTCATCTCCTACCTTGCAAAGCAAAACTTGAAACCTCAACTAACAAAAAATACCCTCCTCCTCCAACAAAACAGACTTTCCTTCTGCCCCTCCCCCCAAAAAAAACCCAGCAACAAAATACAACCCAACAACTCCAAAAGTTGTATTATGAGGCCAGGTTGTTAATGAGTTTCCAAAAGTGTTCACCTCGTATCTTCTGGATTGTGCCATAGTAGCAAAATAAATAGAAAACCCACAACGAAGTCCCCAAAAGGAGTTGGATAAGAGTCTGGTATTCTGTGGCCTTTATAGGGGAAACAGATGTCACAGATCTTACACTCTTGATTTCTGTTGCTTTTAAAATGTAGATGTAAAAATGATAACCTGTAGCCTAATTGTGTCATTGTGCTTTGGTAAAAGAATTTGTAAATATTTATATCTGCTAATCTTTATATTAAGGAATCTATTAAATGGAAATGCCCTTTGGTTGGAGAGGTGATAAAAAGGGGTTGGAGAGGCCTAAATTTCCTGTGAATTAAAAAAATTAGTATAAAAACTATGGTTTTAGTTTTATTTTATGAAAAATGCTTAAATGAAATCAGTTCTTCTCTAATTTATGTATTGGGTAGCTTTGGAGGGAAAGTTCTTCACACTGAAAAAGCACAATGGAGATTAAAACAGCTTTTGAAGACTTAAATGTAAAGACTTCTTTTTTCTGTAATTGTGAAAATAATCCTTGGTTTTGAAAAACTAATAGTGATGAACTTCTGTGTATATGAACCATTTCTTTAGAGAAAAGGCATTGAATAAAACTTGTCAGGAAAAGACTTGGTTTATGCAGGAGTGAGTTTTTTACTTTGGGAATTGATACTGTTGAAAGAAAGTGTAAATATGTATTTTGCATGTGCAGAAAAAACAAAACAACATTGTAGAAGAGCAAGCGGTAGTTAAATTTTTAAATAACTGCTGAATACTTTGTGTACAATATAGAAATTGTAGTGTAACAATGGAGAGTTTAAACCAGAAGAAGTAAATTGCCATTAGTATATATGCATGTCAAGCTTTAATCATTAAAGACAAACTTCTAAACAGGATTAGTAAAACTGAGTTCTGGGAAGTCCAATAATCTATAACTCAGCTATTTTTCAACCTGAGGGGAATAAGGAGTCCATGATTGCTTCCTTATTTTGTGGGTGCCTGGTTCCTAGCAAGGAATTAGAAACAGAAGACTTACTGCAACCTCTTGAATCAGCATAGTGTTGGTATTTTTTACTCAGAAAATTGACTTAGGAGTTTCATCATAACTTAAAGGCATTCAATTAAGCATTAGGATTAGATCATCAAACATGAAACGTAGCATGCTGAAATGAGCTGAAGGTGGATGCAGGTAGTGAGAGAGCATAATTTGTATTAGATAAAAACACTCATGAAATTGCATTCTGTAATAAATTGGTTTTGATAATATGCAGATTTGGTTTTGGATTAACTTCCTTAGGGCTATCTGTGACTATGAGTAACTGTAGCAACACCTACTAGTTTGGTTTAAACAAACAAAAAACCTTTACCAAGTAAAACAGGCAGAGAGGAGGGAGAGGATTTTTTTTTTTCCTCTGGTTGAATTCTGATTTGCAACTTGAGTTTTCAAATAGAATTAGTTACTAAGATAGTTATATTGTGATCCTCAAAGTATCTGGGATAAGTAAATGATGTGTTTTCTGAGTATTTGTAATGCAAATTTTTTTTCTAGATGCTGTCAGCCTGCCACAACAACTATGTTTTTTCACTTCGTTGCAGCTCAGTTACCCAGTGGCTGGAGGACAATTGTCTTTTTGAAAAAATCTTACAGTACTTGTATTTTAAACACAAGCATGTGGTCCACCTTTTCCCTAGTGTCAGTACTTACGTGCTGAAGGGTACCTATAACACAGGAAGCTCCTTATCTTCTAGGTACAGTGCTCGAGTGGCTGTGCAAGGAGCTGCTCAGTTGAACTTCAGTTCTGTTCAGAAGGCTTCAGTCTTTGGTGGCATAATCACATGGGTAGTCATGCTAGGAAAAATACCCAACAAATAGGGATGCTTCATCTGGAAATGCCCATTGATATTTTCTATCCTGTACTTCAACTCAAAGCTTGTGTAATACTTATTTTCAACAGAACCGATTACTTTTTCTCTAGTGAGTGCCTTACAACAAGTTTGGTGTCTCTTTATGGATTTTGGGGTAGGGATTAAGTTAATTAGCTGTAATTAAGGCACTACTTCAAGATACAACTTTTTTCCCCTCCTTAGGGATACTCTGATTGTGTTTGTGGTTGTGTAGCTGTGATTTTGGCCTTAGGTTTCTCTGTTAAGGAGGATGTCAGCCTTTAAGCCGGAATGTGTAGGGATGAGCAAGTTCAGACGGTTAAGCATATTAAAGCAAGGGCGCAGGACATGGATTAAGCTCCTACAAGTGAGAATTAGTGGAGACTTTACCTGGAGCAGCAGTCTTAAAGATGGGATAATTCTTAGCCTGAGGACAGAGTTGTGAAGATAGTACAATAATTACGTTGCTCATGTTAGAATTAAATTTTTGCTGAAGCTGGCTCCTGTTAGGCAGAGTATATTAGACTTGGACAAACTTCCTAGCCCTTTCAGGTAAGAATTTAGATAGTTGTATCTGTTAGTTTTCCCCCTCCAATAAATATCGAAACAAAAAACCTGCCAGATTTCAGGGGTGCCTTGGAGTTATGTTAATAATGGGGAAAGAAAATGCAGCATATGAATTTTTTAGTTAAAATTACAAATGTTTAGTGAACTTTATACTTTCAGCCTTCCAGCACAAAATCTCTACTAGGTTGTTGTACAAGCCTGGTCTCATCTACCCAGTATATGCTAGAGTGCTGAAAATGTGCAGTTGGCAGATCAAAATATGTTTAAAAATCGTATTTGCTGATGAATGGTCAAATGAGGTATTTAGTTTGTGCAATGTTCACACAAAACAATCACTTTGGTTGCATGGATCTCTTCAGAGTACACTTGGTTAATTGTGGTCTAAACTTATTTCCTGTTTTAAGGAAACTATTGCTATGTGTACTGGCATATATTACATGAGAGACCAAAGTGAATCTTGTGGCTTTGTGTGAACATAAATATCTCTCCATAGTTGGGTTTGACATACCAAGTGATTGAGTTTAAGAACTCACGTGGTAGTATGGCGAATTAGTTTGCACCATGCCTACACTTCAGACTTCCAGTTGCTAAATCGCATTTACAGGAAGCTTAAAATACATTACTCGTATTACTTTTCAATACAGGCAACTGATGTCGTTGCCACAGGAATTCTGTTTGTTTGCCAGTTGGAAAGGAGGCCATCCATGCAATTATTTGTAGGAGAGAATGTGATACATGACTGTGCTTCTTTATTAAGATATGGTTAATTCCATGACGTAAGTTTGAAAAATCCACGATTGGGCTGATATTAACTTTCATAGAGACTTCGCTTGTAATCCTGGTTACTCAGCATTTAAGCTTGATGATAATAGACTGTGAATTAGCCCTTGGCAGAAAGTAGAAAATGCTTTTGTGGGAAAAGTTTTAGATCTCAGAGAAGAGCATGTTATGGAAGAAGAGTGGGAAGCGTTGAGCAATTTGCTGTGTGAGTCAGTGCTCAGTGGTAGGTGAACTTTTCCAGGACTATGGCAAAGAATTTAGTAATCAGTATGTTAATTTGCATTTATAAATGAGCTTGCTGTGGCAGTGCACAAGCCACTTTCTTCTGCTATTCAACTATAGTTACAGTATTTAAATTTTACACAGGCTCTTATTTGCTTCTGGTAATTATACTAATTTGCTCGAAGTGTAAGTAAACTTTAACCTGTTTGGCTCCTTATTTGGCATTGTCAGCTGAATTTCAATTGATTTTAGAAAAATTTACCTTAGAATTGAAACAATGAGAACTGTGCCTGTGCTTATAGAAGTCTTGACAAGTTCTGTACATTTCAAAAAAATTTCTAGAATCAGTTGTGAAACTGAATTATTGTTCAAATTCAGTTTTACCAGAATTATAAACCTGTATCTGAATTTCTAAATGGGAAGAGTAGCTTGTTGAATTATTCAATAACTGTATAATATGAGGAGTAACTTTGACATCTGAATCTTGTGATGAGAGCTAAACTTTCCATTTTGAAATAATCGTACTGGTTTTGCAAAACATATATCCACATGTAACATTCTACCCACTACTGCTAAGCAAGAAGTGCATTAGGTAAGGAATTGTCAAGTGATGCTGGAGCATTCTGTTTTTTTTTACAAAGGCCACACTGTCCTGTAGAAGGTTATTTCTAATTTTTCTATGTGGCTCTAAAGACAATTTAATGCATTATACATTCCTTGATGTAAAGTGACTTGGTTTCTTATTTTGCTTTGGGAGTTAGATATGGACAGTGACTGTTAACACTTCCCCACTCTGCAGCTTCACCTCACTAACCTTACCCCTTTGTATAAAGGTCTGCCTTATGGTTTTTACTTTTATAAGCAATAAATACTTTAGCTTTCCTATTAGACCCTTAATTCTGATCTTACTTCATGGTGTGGCATTTGTTTTACGAAGTTAGTGGGTTAACTGTAAAGTCCTGCCGAAATACAAGTTTAGGAAATTGATTTTTACTTCCTTCTTCATTCCCTTTTGTTTCAACAGTTCTTAATTAACAGCCTGGACAATATGCGTTGCCTTAAACCTCTAGTAGTGTGTATAGGATTGAGTGTTAAATGGGTACTCTGTATCCATTAAATTGAGTGAATTTTACTTAGCTTCTGAGGTGCGTCTAAAGGTAAAACCCAGTGAGGTCTGTATATGCAGCATGGCCGAAAGTTTAGTTTTGCTAAACAGTGGCATAAAACTTGTGTGAACTTGCACCATTTGTTATTTTAGCAGTGATAAATGAGTTTGAGAGAACTTAATTTTTTGACCACTGACCTTTTCAGTTTTGCAGTTTATGCTGACAGCAAACTTAAGAACAAACAAACCCCCCACTTTTTGCTCTATGTGGCCATTAGTCAGCACATCTAGGAGAAAAGGTCTGCTTAAGATACTGTAAAATGCATGATAATTTCTATATGTATTACCTATTTGTCATAGCTTCAACTATCTCCATTTTTAAGTTAAGCTTCTTCTGAAGTTGGCCGTTAACCACTAAAATGATACTTTACTAGTGATTACTTTTTTAATTAAGCCCATGTATTAGCTATAAAGCCACTTGAGTGCATTGTAAATAAAATGCTGTAATAATGAAGTGGTTTAATTACACTCCCTAAAGTATGCATAGTTCTCAGTAAATTTTTTTATTTAAATTCTTAACATGTTCCCTTTTTTCTGAAAAGCAGTTTGAATTGCTGTAAAGATGGAGATCCAGCCTTTAAAGTCATTTGAGCAAATTCCATGGCTGTTCTCTAGTTAGTGAGTTTTCACAGCGTTTGCAGCAGGCTAATTGCTTCTGCTAATAAATAATCTAAAATCGATGCTGACAGCAGTTAATTGGCACAGAGACTTTATTCTGTAAAGCACTTGGCTAACGACCTTCCTTAAATTAATAGCATTAAGTGCTATGAGGAAATAAATCTAAGGAATTGCCTGTCATTTGCTTGTCATGTCTAATAACTTCCAATAATGATGGCTGATAGATTTTTGCACATTCCATTATTGAAGTTGGTGCATGTAATTATTCTCCTCATTATATGTAAACAATTAGCAATATTTGGTGTTTCCTTGCAATAAAGCTGTTAAATACAAGTAGCACATTAGAGTTTAGAAACTATTTTTGAAAGCAAAATTGCATTTCCATTGAATATAGCAAATCTGCAGCTATCTGAATGTGCTCCTGGTTCATTGGACTGAACCTCACCTTTTGGTAACATTAATAAGTTGTTTGTGAATGGGAGGATATGGGGGGAGATACTTTGAAGAATTCTGTATTGATGCATGGAACCATTTTTGTTCCAGCTTGAGGAGGTAATGGAGAAGGAAACGTACAAGAATGCTAAATTAATCCTTGAAAGGTTTGATCCAGAGTCAAGTGCAAAGGTAAGAGTCTTGGTGTTGATAATGATTTAATAGGAAAGGTACTATGGAGCTGAACATTCAGATAATGTTATTTATAATTAATTGACAGGTGGCTGAACTTCCATCTGCTGGAACAGCTGCACCCTCAAGACCTGGACAAGGTAATGGCCCCATGAAACGGCTGCTCTTTAGCATAGATACTCATCTTTCACAGCAGTTTCCACTCTAGGATTCTCTCCGTGGTAAAATTTGTAGATCAACTGACCTTTATTTAGGGTTAATAGACTGTTTATTAGACTATGCCCATTACCTTGTCTGAAAAATATAGAACAGCATCTACTACTAAAGACTGCTGCTTTTCCAGACAGCAGGGTGTTTAATGCTGCTTGATGCTAAAGCAGAGAGAACATTAGCTTCTTGTGGCATACTTGCCGTTTTTCTGGAATGCTAAGGTGCTTTCAAATCTTAAGTAATGTTCATTGACTTAGCTTTTCAATTCTGTTTCTATTTCTGGCTAGTTAAGATCTTTCCTAATGCAATGCTTAAACTGCTTGTATACGGTGGATAGAGAGATTCCACAAATCTAGTACAGAAATCAAATATTTTCTAGGTGCAAAGAACAGTTCTTCACTAGTTTGTGATGCTCCATTTGAAAGTGTTGTGGAGTTAGAGTAATAAAAGAAATGGAAAAAAACTTGCAAGGAAGCCTTGTTTCTAGCTTGCACACAGGTTTCAAGACTGAAAAGATCTCTTCCCACCCACTCTCCCTGTAGAATGCTTGCATTAATGTGGACTACAATTAAAAAAAGCAGACAAACTACTGTTAAGTTTTTCATTAAGTTGAGTATAATATGCCGTAGTTAAACGGAAAATGTATTTCAAAGTGTGAGTACTGATTTTCTGTTACAACCATCTTAGACCTGTAGGGCAGGTACTCAAACTACTGAATCGGATGTGCATAATTTTCCATAAAATAAGCAAATCACTTTGGAATTGTCACCTTTATGTCTAATTTTTGTGAGTAACCAAACTTTTATTTGTCTCGTTTTTTGCTCTTGGAGCGCTGGCTTTGGGTGCAGAGCACCTGGATTTACTAACAAAGGTGTTTGGAAGCTGCATGGTCAAATCTACTCTTCTTTTTGTCTTGCTTAGCTTCGTATTGTCATGAAAACATTTTTAAACCATTCTTACTTGTTGACATTGACAGTGAGTATCTGCAGTGCAGTACATTAGCTTTTATCTCTTCTGGTGTCCTAGGCACAACAGCTTTTTCTCAAGTTTGCTCCTTACCTGTCTCTCCCATCATTCCATTTCTGTGACATTCAGGTGTGTTTTTTTTCTTTTTTTTAATGGCTGAAAGGCCATTCTGACACCCTGTTCTGTGTCTTAATACAGCTCGTAGGTGGTTGCCAAGAATTTTCTGTCATACCTGTAATGTTTAGGTAGCCTGTGGTGGTGTATATGGGTTTTTTTTTTCTTTTTTTTCTTAAACTCTTTATATTCATCCTTCTCCTTGAGATATATTAGAAATCACTCCAGAAGTAGGGTGACAGATGTGTTTGTAGAATGCAACTACTGCCAATAAAGGGATAAAACTGCCTAGAAATTTGTGTTTGTATATAGAGGTGTAGAGAGAACTCGCTATAAATTAGACAATGAGAAGTCTTTAGTCCTTCTGGCTTTATTAGGAGATATCACTGGTATTTTTGAAACTCCTAAGGAGTTAAGATTGTTCTCTTCCTGTTTGCCCAGGCTGTTTGAGTAGAGATGGTGACAAGCGAGTTGCTCAGTCTCTATTAGTTGGCTAGTCTTGTGCATGTTTGGGTTTATAAAGGACAGCACATGTGCTTTTAATCATAGAATCACAGAGGGTGTTGAGTTGGAAGGGACCTTTAGACGGTTCCTGGTCCAACCCCGTGCAGTGAGCAGGGGCATCTTTAACTGGATCAGGTTGCTTAGAGCCCTATCAAGCCTGACACCGCATGCCTCCAGGGATGGAGCCTCCACCACCTGTCTGGGATCTGGGGTTCTGAGTTAAAAGCAGGTTAGTTGGATCCAGCTCATGGTGTGTTTTGTTGATTTTGACTGGACTGTTAATGGAAGGACTGTGAGGGAGAGGTTCTGAGGAACTTGGAAGTATTTTGGAGAGCCAGCCACTACAGGCTGTGGTCTACATTAAGTGTGGTATAACAGGAAGGGATTTGTAGAGTGAAACAATCGTTGCTGAGGAGCTAGCCCACACTGTATGTTTAGGGGAGTTTATTTAGGGCTGGCTGTAAACTGGTCTCATGAACCCAGTGGAGGACATCTTTCAGTTCCATTTCACTTGAGAGGAGTGTCCGCGCTGCTTTCTGAGACAGCGCTGTGGTGTGAACCAGAGACCTCTAAGAGAGGACACAACTGAGAAAATGTAAAGTACATTTCTGTTTCAAGTGTTAATCAGTTTCTTTGTGTGCATCCCTATTAAAGTGAGCAATTTGCTTTATCCTGAAAACCGGTAGAGTTTAGCATTGGAAAGGATTTTGGAAAATAAATTTTGTATGTTGCCATGTCTTATGGTAGGATTCAGTGATCTAAGGGTCTCTTCCAGCCTAGATGATTCTATGATTCTATATAAGTTTTGTTTATATATGGCACAGCTTCCTTTTTTTCTTTTCTAATCTCTTAACACATTGAAATTAGAATTTGTGCTGCTTTTTCTCCATGTAAAAGTGGAGATTCAGAATATTGTATTTTCTGGATGGATTATAGTTCAGGAGGGACATGCTGGCTTTAGTTTGTGAAATTGTGGAGTCTTACTTTCTAAGTAACCTGTTCTTGGTGTGTGCATTAATTGTTTCAATTTTTAGCTATTAAAAAAAAATCACACTAGCCTATTGCCCTTCACACTAAATATCTACTCAAACCAAGTATTAGTTTCTGTTCTGTGCAGTGTGTAACTTACTGTAACTAGTTAACACTTTAATATGGTTGCGGTGTAATTTTGGAGTATGCAATACATGGTAGAATTATTGTGATTGGGAATAATAAAATATCTTTAAGAAGTTAACATTAAAGCTTCCTTAGTTTTATCTTTGCTTACTTTGGACACAGACTAGCCAGGCAGCAGAACTCGTTATTTTGAGCTCTGTAATTCAGCCTTTTTGAGAAGAATTTAAATAATCACCAATGTGTAATCAGATTGGATGACGTTGTGTACGAGGCAGCTGATGGAAGGTTAGTCAGTTGGCATGGTTTTGAGTTGAAATGGAGTTGAAACGGAAACCTGCGCGTCATACTAATTAGTACAAAGATTTAAACAGCATTACGTAATGGTTGCTTTCCAGAAAAACAACTGGTAGTGCCCTAGTTTTCACATGCATGTAGCTCTGCAGTCTTTTTTATTTTGACATACACTTTATTTGTAGTTTCAACAGATGATTCAAATGAATCTTAAGTTTGGCATGAGAAAGCACCTGAAAATGCAGAAGGAAGAGAATTTGAAAACTTAAGTGCAATTTTATCGGTTGAGAAATGTTTTGAGAGGTAGAGTTAACAATCATGTAGTTGTTGGGTACTTTGGCTGTAAAAAAAAAAGATAAGTTTATATTGGCAGTGGAAGAAATATTTATCAACAGTATCCTGTTGTTGATACCTCCTCCCTTCATTGTGCTAATTCAACTGTTAGCTAGGCTGTATTGTAAGTGAGATCACTTCATGACCGGAAATAAAAATACTGCGATAACAGATGCTTGCAAGCTGTGAAATGGGTACAGGCATCCGGAAGAAGAAAGAAAATTTTTGGTTGATCTTTGCAACTAAAACCAACGATTTATGTGGACTGGATATTGACCTGCATTGTGCTCTTTAAAAATAATCTATTCTTCCCT